AACGTACATCCCACATGACTGCATTCATGTGAAATACCCAGAACAGGCAAAATCCTATCAAGGGTTAGGGTGTGCAGGATAAGTGGTGGGTGAAAACAAAGGGGCAGGAGGATATTCTCTGTTGTGATACAAATGGTCTGTGTCTTCACAGAGGTATATATTTTTCAGAATGGATCAAACTGTCACTCAAAACCTGGGCATTCCATTTTATGTAAATTATACTTCAAGTGAAAAATTTTAAAAATCATTATAGCTCCTATATACTGAACACAGAGGCTAAAAAACAATTTTTAGCTTTAAGAATGTGACAAGATATCTTCGACAGCCCTGTAGTGGGGATAGTGTCATTTTCCTTTGTGTCTCAAACAACATGGAGCCTACTGCATTGCGCATTATTTATTTAAAGACCACAATCCTGAAAACCTCAATTCATACAAGACTAACCTCATTCAAAATGGCATGGCAGGTGTTTTGTTTATATGGCAATGGCGTAACATCAACTTACAATTCAGACAGCCTTCTATCTGTGCAATTATACCATTCTTGAACTTTTCATTAGAAGGTAGGGCTTCACATCAGGGTAAATATTATCCCTCATTGGTTGATAAAAGACACTCAATAGGTGTCTGCTACATTAACAATAAAGGAGTTTATGCCGATCAAAGTCTTAAAAGAGAAAAACAAAACAAAACCAGAAACAAAGTTCCTAAAGCAAAACCAGAGCAAAACAAAGATTCATACAGAAAGATGATCATTCACCAGAACATTGGAAATAGGAAGATAAAATGTAAACAGAATGATGCTATAAATAATGGCAATCCCTTCAGTGAAATCCTATTCATCTGTTTCAAAGAGGAAGATAAAAATGTACTTTCATGGGAGGATAATATATCATGAGGGTGGAAAAGATGCAAAACATTCTATGTGATATACTTTTTTGTAAAAATATACATATATAAGTTAGTTTATGTAGAGAGAAGAAAAATGGTAGAATATACTCTAGTGTGTTGACAGTATTTGTCTCTCAAGAGTGAAATAGAGGAGATTTACACATTCTACAGTTTGTTATGCCTGTAAGACTTGAATTCTATACAAGGCAATCGTACCGTTTTTCTAATTGCTTCTTCAGATGTTAGGGGTTATAAATCTGTGAAGAACTACCTGTTGTACTGACTGACCCAAAAACTTTTTTCTCTTGCTCTTATAGTGGGTAATATTTTGAAATATTAACTAAACGTTTGCACCTCAATACAATCTTAGTGTCCCATCCCCCATTCAATCTTTTTTTTTTTTGGTATCAAAGAAGAGAGAGGAACACCTAAGCCTAAAAGGACAAAGTCTAGTTCTTTCCATTCGTCCTTTCTAGGATAACACAAATGATTTGAAATTATGCACAAACAGGAAAAGCAAACCTTCTTAATATGCTGTCACCCCACCTTCTTCACTATCTCTGAAACAGATCTGGGAGAATCTTCGGGCAGAAGAGGTCTGACTCCACAAGAGCCAGGCCAGAAACCAGTTCATCTACAATAATCTGGCCTTAGATACTAAATGCACTGCCACTCCTGTCCATCCCAAACTTGGATGCAACACTGAGGTGGGAGGGAAAGGAGGAGGAAGTTGAAGGGACATGAACCGGGTGTGTCTAAAAAACTTTAGGGCAACCTATTGATGTGTGGGCTCTCAAAAAACAATTAAATGGAGTTACTGAAAATTAAGCCATTACATTGCTTACAGTCGTAAATTCTTAGAATGAGACTTATACTCACTACAATTTATTTCCTCTTCTGAAAAGCACTGAGCTGTTCTGAATGAAACACAGCAGCTTTCTTCTCCTTAAACAGAGGTTATCTTTCCTTTTAAATCTTCTGCCTACTTTACATAAAATGAGGGGCCAAGATGGCTTGAATGTTCCTCTGGGCTGGACTAATACTATACATATGGCTCTCCCTGGTTCTAGGTCCTGACCACCCTTTTCTCTGGGCATCTGCTTTAGAAAACCTTTAATTAAACATCCCTTCTCTGTTTAAAACATATATAACTCTTTTTACAAGCCTCTTTTCTGTTTTACAACCTCAAACTCTCTTTCTGAAGGGCTTGGGAGCCATCCTTTGAAATGTAATCCTCAAGGAAGATAGCACCCCTATTCCCAGTCTCTGTGGGAGGGTAGGAGCTAGCTTCTAACAGGCACCAACAGCAAACACACATGGCCTAATCACAGAGAACCACAGAGCAAACTTCAGGAAGTTACTCAATGTGTTCTCCTGGTCAACCTCCCCTCTACAGTCCTCCAGCACATTCCCACTGTCTCACTCAGCCCTCAAACACCCTCCCATCCCTTGTCTGAGCAGAACTGAGCTCAGACTGAGTTCTGGCCTGTGTTCCCAGTTCCTAGAGCTGTGCATAAAGTCTTCCTTGCCTGTTTAACGTAGTTCAGTGCAATTTCCGCTTTGGCAGAGGAGAACAAAGACACTTGAGCTTCCTGCAACACTTAACTTCCATACCCCTTCCTCTATTTCTTGAACGTTTACTACCTCCTGTCAGTTGAAATATTCTAATGGGTACAAATAGTATCCAGCTTCTTTTACAGGAGGATACTGAGGCTTAGTGAAATCAAGCAATTTACATTAGGTCATTGCGATAATCTGAATGTCTGTGTCCTCCTCTTCTCCCCAGATTCGTATGTTGAAATCCTAACCCCAGTGTGATGGTATCACCATGAGGGACACGCAGCATGTGACGAGCTCATGAGGATGGAGCCCTGATGAATGGGATTAGTGCCCTTATGACACAGCCCCCAGGGAGCTCCCTTGCTCCCTCCACCATGTGAAGGACATGTTGAGAAGATGCCTGTCTGTGAATCAGAAATCAGGCTCTCACCACACACTGAATCTGCATGGAGCTTTGACGGAAGACTTCCCAGCCTCCAGAACTGTGAGAAATACATTGGTTGTTTTAAGTCACCCAGCCTACAGTATTCTGTTAGGGCAGCCCCAGCTGACTGGGACAGTCACACAGCAAATAAATTCTGGACTCCGCAGGCCTAGACCCACAACACGTGCCTCCAGAGCCCTGGCTTTCAAATACTTGGTACAGCCCAAATAAAATTTTGTTGAATTTGTTCTCGTTAGCTTCTGTGTGTGTTTCGGGGTCCAGAGAAGTGTCTTTTACTTCCTGTGTTTGTTTTGGTGTTTTTGAGGGGGAGGGCACTTTCTCCTCCCTGGGAAGTCCTGGATGCATTCCCCAGAGCAGGGGGACCCGGAGAGAAAAAGGATGGGAGTGAGGTCCAGCGAGGGACACGCAAAACAGGAGGGAGGGTCAACACTGGGTGTGGCGGCCCCTGACAGTCGACAGTGAGGTACAGGTAATATTATATGTGTATCACTTCCAAGGGGGTTTGGGTATCGTTTTGGGGGAGCAGAGAGGGCTGTGGTGGGTTCCAGTGTATTTGGGGGCTTGGGGGTCTTGTGTGGGGTTCGCACTTTCGGGCTCTGCGCTCAGAGTGCGGGCCGGCGGGTCGGCCTCCCGGGGGCAGTCCAGGGAGCACCCTCCGCCGCCCCGGGGGAATCTGGGGAGAGGACACCGGGGCGGGGACGTCCCACACTCACCGCTCAGGCCTCGTAACCGCCACGGCCACACCTCCACCTCCACCTGTGAGGGACAAGCGTCACCCGCGGCGCGGTGCCTCCTGCCAACGCCTTCCCCAACCGCCCCGCCACCGCGGGCCCCTTCCTCGCGCATGCGCACACGCGCCCAGGCCCCACCCCGCCCCTCGCTCCCCGCAGCCCTCGCGCGCTCAGGCTTCACCACCTTCCCAGCACGCATCTCACTATCCCCCCCGCGTCACTATCCGCGGTCCCCCCCCCAACCGCGGGCGCACTGGACCCTCCCCGGGACACCTCAGAGCGTGAGGCCTCACTAAACTCTTCCCTCGCGTACTGCCCCGGGGCCCCACCACCCTGAGGGCCCTACCTCGGGCCCGTTCGCTTGCTCCCAGGCTCTTTGCCTCTGCACCCCACTGGACGACCCGACCATCCTCCATCTGTCGCTGGCTCCCCTCTCCCTCATGTGTCATGGTCACCCTCAGCGGGCCAGTAGCTGGTGGCAGGAAGTGGGAGGAGATTCAGTGGCCGCCGCCCTCCACGGTCTGTGGGGGTCAACAGATAACTTGCAGAGGCGCAGGCACAGGGGCCCGCAACCCTGCTCCGGGGGCCACTCAAAGCCCCAGACGCGCGGCGACCCGGCCTAGGGCGCGCCGTCCACGCGCCTCGCCCCGGTGGCATGCGCCGCCTCTGCCCGTGGGCGCTCAGCGCGTGGAGACCCCCACTGCGTCCTCTGCACGCGCTGCCCTGACCCGCCAGCCACTCAGTGGGCCTCACCCCCGGACCTCTCTCATGCTGCTGCAATTCACTGATGGTCGCTTCTCTTGGCGGACCCCCGCCCCAGCCAATACACACCTCCAGTGTAGCTTAATGGTTGGAAGCCCAGGTTCTGGATTCTGTCAGAGGGCAAATCTCTTCCCTACTGGACCAGGTATCGGGTTCGGGCCTCTCAGGGCTAAATGGAGCTGGGCTCTTGAACTGTTAGGTTAAGCTTTGTCAGGAAAGCGTGCTGGATGGACCCTGCAGGACCAAGGGCTGCTGGTCCAGGTTCGGGTGTTTTCTCTTGATTTTTCTTACTTACACCTGCATGTAAATTGCTTAGTAGAGGAACTGACATATAATTTTTTGTTTCATTCTCGAAGATAAGAGGTGGATTGGAAGATAGGGAGGAACAGTGAAAGAGACTACCACATTAAAGTAATTTTAAAAAGAGTCATTAATGATGCCAACTGTGAGACTAGATACAAGTAATAGCTTAATCAAATGAGTTCCCTCTCCTCTTTTAAAGGTGGCGAGCCTTGTTTTACTGAAATCAGTGGTGATGTATGTCATGTGTGGGAGTGGAACCCATAGAAAGTTGTACCCCAAAACAATAAAACACAGAATAGCTTCTGGGTATCATTTTATTACTCACAAAACCCAACTGAGGCTATAAAAACCTTGAACAAACCATCTCAAAATAGAGTAGCTTCATGGACGCTTTCTGTCTTGCAAGTGGACAACAGTCATCCCTACTTGTCTGCGCATCTGCCCATGAATCTTGAGAGTGATTAGATTTCTCATGTGGCTTATGGTGTACTCCATGTGCCCAGACAAGATCTGCGGAAGAGCTCTCTGTCTCCCTCTCCACTTCATTTCTTCTTCTTTCTCTCTTAATCAGAAGTAGGGTGAGAATAGGAAAGAAAACACACTATTTTTAAAGAAGTGTTTTACCTTCTGTTCTTGGAGTCTAAATGTCTTGGTACAAAGATTCTCTTACAAATGAAGAATCTTGGTTTGAGTTTTGGAAATAATAATCCAACTTACTCCTACCCCTTAAGCTTTGGTATTGATTTTAATTACATCCTTTTTGGTATAAACCTGTGTATGTGTGTACTCATGCAAAAGATGATTTGATACAGGCTTACTGCTCCTCTTAACCATAACTCAATACTGAAAAATAATCCTCTTGCTTTTCAAGCTATCCCATTTGACAGCACCACCATTTCTGGATGTTTCTGTTTAAACATTCAGGATGCTCACGAATAGGTCCTTTTCCTACCCTGATTAATGGCGCTCTTTTATATTTCTAGGAAAATGAACAGGAATTTCTCCAAATGTCTTTAGATTTGCACATGCTGTATACATGAGCCACTCATGTAAATCTACAAAAGAGTGACATATGTTCTTCTTTGGGGCACTCTTTATTATGTAAATATATTTATACCAAGATAGGCACACACGTAGTAGTGCCCCTCTGTGTGTCCATGCATAGACAGAGTAGTCTAAGGAAGACATAAAGTTCACTGGTTGGGAGTGAATCTCAGGGTACCTTTTCTTTATAATCACCTTCTGTGTTCTCTGGGTTAGCAAAGGCCAGGAAGATTTGTTCTAGCGTTATCTGACCGATGGAATAGTCTTCTAAATTGAATTGCTCTTTAGCATCTTCCAAAATACCAAACACCTTTAGCAACAACAGCAATAAAAAAGTGCAGTTACCATTTTTATAGTCCTCCCCTCCAGTGCCCAACCCAGATAAGCCTCTCCTGCACTTCCTCCAAGTCCTGTCAAGTTAATGTTGACGGACAAAAGGGGGAGATGAGAAAACGATAGAAAACATAATTGAGAATCTGCAAGGAAGCAGTTCTCTGTCCCCCTTCTCTTGATGGACAGAGATTAATAATGGGATTTAAGGAATAAATCAATTAAATTCTAGGGACTTTTGGAAAATATCATACTTTAGGTTACCTTTCTGCTCCTTATACAATGTCAGGCTCCCATTACACATGCCTGGATATCAAATACTCCCCCTATCATTAGTGCTTTCTTAATATAAAATGTTAGAAGGTCATGGTTTCTACATTACCTTTCCCCAGGTGTTGTCCTTGCTGGGAATGTAGTAGGTAAGGATCCCTTGATTCTCCTGCTTTAACACACTACCTAAGAAATGAAAGACAGGATAGATGAATAATCTTGCAGATATCATTTTAAATTTCCAAAATATTGCTACATCAACTTAATTATTCACAATAGAGGGGTGAATAGACATTGTTAATACAAAAAGGGACATGGTCAAATAACCTCTCTTTGATATATATGACATGGTTAATTCCTTTTGGATTTATTTCTGATGAAATATTCTTATTATATGAATTTCATAACAGTTATTGAGGGCAGGCTTTCAGGCACAGTAAAATTGTCAGCTCACATACCCCATGGAAAAACTCTGAGCCTTCTAAAATTCTGTTACAAGACTTTATTCCTGAACATAGTGTTGAGAATATGAGCTGGCCAGATTTTCACTCCGGTTGTGTGGATATGTATGCATGTGCTGTGTGCTCGGTGGGGAGGAGAGCAGGACAAGGCCCCCTTGCTTTTTCATTATTACATGTCCTGTGAAAGAGGAAATCATACATATAAATCACCAAAGTCAGGCTGTGTGCTCTGGTTTTGTTCACTGGTGAATAAGAACCCACTGGTGGAACGAAAGGGAAGAGGGTGGTATCCGCTTCTAATTGGAACAAACGTGTTTACTCTCATCAGTGCACATTTGTAGGTTGTTGCAAATTGGATTAACTGGGGTCAAAATGTTTTAAAGTAAAAAATACATGTTTATAAGGGTGAGTGGATTTTCTTATGTGAATTTTAATGCGTGTATTGTTTCCATGATGCCATAAAGCTCTTTTTTGTGTGTGAAAAATTTGAAACATGGAGTTTAATGAATTATTCAAAGCAAACACTGGTGAAATCACCCCATTTAGGCCAAGTAATAGTAACGAAGAGACTTCCATGTCCCACTCCTCAGCCTCTATCCCACATAAAAAATTACCAATACCTTCATTGTTATTGTGGACATTTCCTTTTCAAAGTAGTTTTTACCAATGCATATACCTCTAAAAATTGAGGTAGAGTTTTCCTACCTTTGACCTTTATGTGAATAGAATCATCTGGTATATTTTCTTTCTTCTCCTTTTACTCAATGTTTGTGAGATTCATTCATGCGGTTGCATATAGCTATAATTCGTTTTCTTCTCTAAATAGTAATCTGGCATATGAATATTCTGCAATTTATCAATTAGGCTACTGATAGACATAGAAATTGTCTGACTATTGTGAATATTACTGACTTAAATATTTTACTTATCTCCTTTTACAGGTGGATGCAAGTATCTAAAATATAGCTTTAGGTAGAATCATTGGGCCATTGCTTTTTAAAAAATTGGTCCAGTTTCACCTGTGAAATATAGTGAGTTGAAGAGTGTCACTCCCACTGTTACTACAAGAAAGCTGGACAAATTGCAAATTAATGCATTTCTTGAACCCATCAGTTTTCTGACAGGGCAAACTCAGGGCAAATAACTAACCCATATGTGGGTAGAGTCAGGCATCTACAGAGAAGATCGGGACCATAGCATTTGCTTGTTTGTACAAGGCAGACACTACCAGATGACATAAGCTGCAATAAAAAATGTAATAAGTTGCTAAAGATCAAGTGTGGGATAGCAAGAGAATTATGAAGCCCATTTTCAAAATTTTTAATCTCTCTGATTTAGGTTTTTTAGTGGTGCTTACTTCTTATACACATTAGAGAACTGAATTTTGCTTGTGAGCCAAGCTGAAATTTTTTTTCATTTAATGCAGGAGTTAAGTCTATTTACATATATTGAAAGGAACAATATGTTTAATTATAGTCCTCCTATATAATTTTTAAAGTTATATATGCATATATACTGGATAAATGCATATATATCAATACAAATGTAAATATACAAAATATGTCTCTGTTTGTATGTGTTTCACTTTGTGGCTGGTTCTTATTCTTACTGTTATATTTGTGATACACTAAAGAATATATATATATATTTTTAAATCTTTTTTTAAAACATTTTATTTATTTATTTGAGAGAGAGAGAATGAGAGGTAGAGAGCATGAGAAGGAAGAGGGTCAGAGGAAGAAGCAGACTCCCTGCTGAGCAGGGAGCCCGATATGGGACTCGATCCCAGGACCCTTGGGATCATGACCTGAGCCGAAGGCAGTCGCTGAACCAACTGAGCCACCCAGGTGCCCAGTAAAGAATATATTTTTGTTCTAATGGTTAACTTCATTCTAACATCTTTTCCTAATACCATAAATTGTCCCTTCTTTTTAAGATACTGGTATAAATATTCAGTGCTCACCAATAGTACTTATGCAGAAACTTCTCCAGTCATTCCTCAGTCAATGGGAAATTTTTGTCTGTGTAGTCTTCAGGGAGAGCCATCAGGAATAATATCCCCTGAATACCTATTTGTTTATAACTCTTTTGAATTTTAATCTTGATCATTTTGACTATATATGAGAACTATGGCTTACATTTTTCTTAGCATAAAATATTTTGTCACAAAGCCCAAAATCAATCTAATTTTCTTCCCGTATAAATTTTCTTTCTTCCCCTTGTTTTTTTTTTAATCTGGCATCCAAAGGTCATCCCACTTTATTATTAAAATACAATTGTTATATCGGAATATTCCTTGGTATTGATGATACTGGGTCAATTTTTCAGGTTGTCCTTTCAGTAAGCAGGCTTGTCTCACCTTAGGAAATTTTCTTGAATGATAGTTTTTAGTATTTGTTCTAATCTATGGCTTTGCTTTTCTCCTTTTGGACTAATTTCATAGTTGTGTTGGATTGTCCTTGCCTTACCTCTCACTCACTTTTTAAAAATTTTTTATTGTTATGTTAATCACCATGCATTACATCATTAGTTCTTGATGTAGTGTTCCATGATTCATTGTTTGTGCATAACACCCAGTGCTCCACACAGAATGTGCCCTCTTTAATACCCATCACCAGACTAACCCATCCCCCCACCCTCCTCCCCACTAGAACCCTCAGTTTGTTTTTCAGAGTCCATCGTCTCTCATGGTTCGTCTCCCCCTCCAACTTACTCCCCTTCATTCTACCCTCCTGCTATCATTTTCTTTTTCTTTTTTGTTAACATATGTTGCATTATTTGTTTCAGAGGTACGGATCTGTGATTCAACAGTCTTGCACAATTCAACAGTCTTGCACAATTCACCATAGCACATACCCTCCCCAATATCTATCACCCAGCCACCCCATCCTTCCCACCCCCCACCACTCCAGCAAACCTCAGGTTGTTTCCTGAGATTAAGAATTCCTCATATCAGTGAGGTGATATCATATATGTCTTTCTCTGATTGACTTATTTCACTTAGCATAACACCCTCCAGTTCCATCGACGTCGTTGCAAATGGCAAGATCTCGTTCCTTTTGATGGCTGCGTAATATTCCATTCTGTATATATACCACATCTTCTTTATCCATTCATCTGTCGATGGATATCTTGGCTCTTTCCACAGTTTGGCTATTGTGGACATTGCTACTATAAACATTGGGGAGCACGTACCCCTTCGGGTCCCTACATTTATATCTTTGTGGTAAATATCCAGTAGTGCAATTGCTGGATTGTATGGTAGCTCTATTTTCAACCGTTTGAGGAACCTCCATACTGTTTTCCAGATGGGTTGCACCAGCTTGCATTCCCACCAACAGTGTAGGAGGGTTTCCCTTTCTCCGCATCCCTGCCAACATCTGTTGTTTCCTGACTTGTTAATTTTAGCCATTCAGACTGGTGTGAGGTGGTATCTCGTTGAGGTTTTGATTTGGTTTTCCCTGATGCCAAGCGATGTTAAGCACTTTTTCATGTGTCTGTTGGCCATTTAGATGTCTTCTATGGAAAAATGTCTGTTCATGTCTTCTGCCCATTTCTTGATTGGATTATTTGTTCTTTGGGTGTTGAGTTTGATAAGTTCTTTATAGATTTTGGATACTAGCCTTTTATCTGATATGTAATTTGCAAATATTTTCTCCCATTCTGTCGGTTGTCTTTTGGTTTTGTGGACTGTTTCCTTTGCTGTGCAAAAGCTTTTTATCTTGATGAAGTCCCAATAGTTCATTTTTGCCCTTGCATCCTTTGCCTTTGATGATGTCTCTAGGAAGAAGTTGCTGCAGCTGAGGTCGAAGAGTTTGCTCCCTGTGTTCTCCTTTAGAATTTTGATGGACTCCTGTCTCACACTTAGGTCTTTCAACCATTTGGAGTCTATTTTTGTGTGTGGTGTAAGGAAATGGTCCAGTTTCATTCTTCTGCATGTGGCTGTCCAATTTTCCCAACACCATTTGTGGAAGACACTGTCTTTTTTCCATTGGACATTCTTTCCTGCTTTGTCAAAGATGAGTTGACCATAGAGTTGAGGGTCCATTTCTGGGCTCTCCATTCTGTTCCATTGATCTATGTGTCTGTTTTTGTGCCAGTACCTTACTGTCTTGATGATGACAGCTTTGTAATAGAGCTGGAAGTCCGGAATTGTGATGCCGCCAGCTTTCCTTTTCTTTTTCAACATTCCTCTGGCTATTCGGGGTCTCTTCTGGTTCCATACAAATTTTAGGATTATTTGTTCCATTTCTTTGAAAAAAGTGGATGGTACTTTGACGGGCTTTGCATTGAATGTGTAGATTACTCTAGGTAGCATTGACATCTTCACAATATTTGTTCTCCCAATCCATGAACATGGAAAGTTTTTCCATTTCTTTGTGTCTTCTTCAAATTCTTTCATGAGTATTTTATGTTTTTCTGAGTACAGATCCTTTGCCTCTTTGGTTAGATTTATTCCTACGTATCTTATGGTTTTGGGTGCAAGTGCAAATGGGATTGACTCCTTAATTTCTCTCTCTTCTGTCTTGTTGTTGGTGTATAGGAATGCCACTGATTTCTGTGCATTGATTTTATAGCCTGCCACTTGACCGAATTCCTGGATGAGTTCTAGCAGTTTTGGGGAGGAGTCTTTTGGGTTTTCCACATAAAGTATCCTATCATCTACAAAGAGTGAGAGTTTGACTTCCTCTTTGCCGATTTGGATGCCTTTGATTTCTTTTTGTTG